CAACATGTCTCCAAGTCTCTTGAATTAATATTAAGAAAGGCTGCACCATTGAGAAATGGTTTCCAGTTGTTTAAACTTAAAGAAGAGTTAGATTGTTGAAATACATCTTTGATCACAGATAAGTTATTGAATTTCAATAGTTTTTGGTGTTGGCTAATTCAGTGATTAGTTGATATTTGTTCAATATTTAAGAACAAGGGATATACATGAATTTCACTTTTATGTCATTAGCATTTTGACCAACAATTCATGTTTTACTTTAAATTAGGAAGCCAAACTTAATTACTGATGATTCGTTAATCTTCATTTGTTTGGAAATTGTCTGAAAACTGCTAAATACCGCTTTTAGTATAGAATCTTGAATGATTGGAACCAGTTTGTTAGAAAAAAATCTGAGTCTGGTTTACGTATGAAATAACCAAACCATTACGTGATTGTTTGGCTTTCTTAACAATTGATTTTGAATTGTCATGTGTTCTAATTTCTACACACTATGGAAATCGTCATTAATATAACCAATACAAAGAAAAAAATCTAAAACTTACAAAAATGATTTGGGACTGTATTTTGTCATGATATATATGAATACAGCTCACAGTAAAGCTGAAATTTAGCAATCATCTAGTTAATTTATGTGGACAGATAAATTATCTGGTTGTCAAATACATAATCCAACCAATATTTCACTTTCTATTTTATACACATGACTTTAATGATCTGAGCATTTTACATTCAAGTCGTTTGCTCCTGAAGTCTCTAATTAATTCATTTTTTCCGCATTATACCTTACACTGATAACTTAATTGCTTAGATATAAGGAATGGTATAAAATGGATTATAGATCATTAATTACTCATTTTAAATGGGTCTTTATCACGTCAGTTACTTTTGACCAGGCAAAGTTGTGCACAAAAAAGTTTGTCTCTGTTCCTCAACAATTTCCCATCCTTAGCCCTCTCTCTGCCCCTTCCACCTCCTCAAGTTCTCTCCATTCATATTAATTACTCAATGTCATGAAACTTTCTCTTCCTTCCACCAACATTAGCTCTGACAATCATTCAAAGGTATAAATTACTGATAACAGCTGAGAATGTGAGTTTTCTCAGTAGTACTTGAATTTTACCGACGTTCTAACATTTAAGCTAAAAATTTGAAGGCATCAATAAAGGGTAATGGAAATATTTAGGGAGGATACACTCCTTGCAATTGCCCTTGAAATTGTACCAAGTAGCAAGTTGCCTACTCCACCTGTGACTAAGGCAGGCAGGAATTCTGCACAAACCCCTTCTTCGCATAAAACTCTCGTTTGTTTTATATAAGCAGAAACTGTTTATTTTAATCATTTATATATGTGTTTCTATTTTTCCTTCGTTCTTGTAAGGGAGAGCATGGCACAAGGTACACATAACTCTTTTATGCAAAATCACAATCTCTAGATGCCATTTCAAATGATTAATTTTATTTCACAGCGTTCATAAGAATAATACCTTACTTTAGGAGGTTTTTTTCACCAAGTTAGTTAGTTAAAAAAATAATTAGGTAATCACTAGTTCCTCAGTGGAAAATAAATTATGTAAGAGGCAAAATATCATTAGAAAAACAATTGGGTAGCCCCACTCTAAATTGTCTACAGTACAATGTACAGTATGCAAATGTTCATTCATTTGTTAATTTTAGAGGACAGCATTTCATTGAAATAATTGAAAACAGCTCATAGCCTGTTCTGTGAAGAAACAAAACATTGTTTGTGTTAATGTCAAGTAAGTTAATTATGTTTTGTAATCTTCAAATGGAGCATATAATTGATTTATGAAATTCTGTTATCATTGCATTTATCATTGTTAGTAACCAAGAATTCTAGTAGTTTCTTATTATTCCCAATGTATGAAATCAGCTGGGTATTCTATATGTTTAAAAACAATTCTATTCAGAAGACTTGTACTATAATAAAGTGAAGAATTTAAAACAATATATTAAAATGTGTTAAAACCACTGAGAAGATCACTGACTTTTATAAAATATTCCATTTATTGTAGTAATAATTTTTAATTCAGTAACACAACTATGCAACTTTTCTGTATTATTTGTAGAATTTTCATTAATACCACTTAAGATCAATGGCTTACATACAATTTTTATTTGTGACATGAAAACTATAGCATTTTAGCTGATCAACATTCTCTTACTCTGTTATTTTTAGGTCTTTATAATTATCTGAGAAATTTTCTGAGGCATTGAACCCATTGCCAAATATTTAGCTGAAAACAAAAATGTTTTCAAACAAATGTAGATTTAAAAAAAGCAGTAAGATTACCTCAATAACTCCCACCACCAGCCTTCCAACCACCACCAACACTACACACACTTTTCTTAGGATATTCTGTACCATATACAGCCCTCCTAAAGCAAGACATATTAAATAAAAAGAACACTCTTCTTAAATTCCCAGTTAATGTAAAGAATTATAACTTTTGAACTTCCTGTATTTCAGTATTTATTTTCAACACATTCATTGCTCAGATGACCTTGGACTTCAATAAATTCTGTATATTTGATAAATGAGTGCAAGTGTTTATCTTAATTTTAGGTTTAAAATTGTTAAAATCTTTTAACTGTATCTATTTCTCATAAAACAATTAAGAAACAATATCAGACTTTTAAAAGGGAAATTTTAAAATTTCATTTCATTTCATTATCTAAGTGTTTGATCATGCTTGGTATCCAGTAGACATAATCAGAAGAGTAGTTAATAAAGCAATGGATTGGGAAGGGATTGCTAGAGAATATAAACTGTATTACTTTTTAATATTTTAGTACAAAAATAAGGTCTTAGCAAACTTTTTGATATTCTACTACAAAAATAAGGTCTTAGCAAATAACTTACTTTATGTTTTTAATTGAATGTTCTTAAAATGACAATAGAATTATAGAAAAATGAGGTTATTTGCTTTGCTGCTTCCTGTGATTGTACATACCTTATTTTAGGCATTTACATTTTTATCCTAATAGAATGAAATACTTGAATGTATTCCATGTGCTAACATATAACAATTCTAGCACTAAAAAAATGTACCTCAAAATGTAAAAACTGCAGATACTTGAAAACTTGAGGCATTCATAAAACAAATAAGGAACATTTTAAATACACTTATTTCAGTGGGTTGAAGCAATTATGACTTATGATGTAACACAGCAGGCAACTCTAAACATAAAGAAGTGCCTTAAAAGTCTTCAATAAATTACCAATATTAAGATTTTGAAAGACAAAGAGATGAATAGGTAACGTTAAAAATAATAATGTAGTTTTGTAAAAATTGTATAAGTTGACTACCATATATTGGACATTTCTGATTTAGTTTTTTGCATTCCTAAGAACTATCTTGCCAAAAATTTGCTCTGAAGGTAATTAACTATCTTTCTAAATGGATTTTGAATCAAACATAAGAGTTCTACTTAAAATTTGCCTCTTCTTTTAATTCTAAGACAGTGGTTGTATGCCTTCTTTTACAGGGTAAATCTATCAAACAGAGATGCTTTTCTTTCTGAATTGCATACTGCTTTGCACTATTTAACACATGAAATGCTGGAAGTGGGGTACCTTAACACAGTGATCTTTATTCTACACTGAAAATTAATCAGTTCATGGACTTAGGAAAAGAAACCCAAGTTTCTCTTAAGAGTTTAATAAATGCTTTGCAATGTTAAAAAAAAAAAGTAGGCCTTAATACCTAATCAGTTGCATTAAGAGGCTAGATTTAAGAGTGGATAGAGTACCTGCCAAACTACAACTTCCAACTTTTATTTCTGAAGAAAGTGATCCTTGAGAGATGAGAAAGTTACTTATTTTAAGTTTTATTTGCCCTTGTATTTGTCTGTCATAAAATATCCTTTTCTAAAGGGCTTTTGAGTTTGCACTTAAAAAGAGAAAAATTATGATTAAATTAAAAGAAACATAGTGCATTATATGTAAGCTTTCCCACAAAAGAGGGAAGCACAAAAAACTTGAGTAAATCCAAGAAACATAATATAAGCATGAGACTTATGGACAATGCTCAATTTAAATTTCATATATTGTCAAATGACAGATGTCTATACCAGACTGTGAATACTTTAATTTTTAAAATCTCCTGCGGTCCTTTTTATCTGTTTCAGAACCGAAGCTGCAGTGTTATTTGTGAACTAGGCCTTATAGCTTGTTAATATTCTTTACTTCTTAATTTTGTGGAATATTCTAAAACCATCATAGACAGCCCTCTGAATTTGAATTTTTGACTTTAGCATCGATCTCCTTGTGTTTCAAAATCACAAAAAGCAAGGAGATCACCATAACTAAAGATGTCAAGATTAAAGTTTGAGGTTAGCCATCGAGCTTTCTCTTTGGGAAAAGAGTTTAACCCTGAAGTAATTCGAAATCTGCATTTTAATGCAACTTTTCTAACTGAAGAATACAAGAAACTGGGTGGTTACCCCCCCCCCCCCCCCCCGTTTGAGAAAGACATGTTTTCCTTGTGGAAATCTGTAATCTGAAAAACTATTTATATAAAGGAGCAACTGTTGGAAATAACCTAAATGTTATTTCAAAATTTAAAGGCCGATTAATGTAGTAGTGGCGATAGAAGAGCCGAGTTACGAGGTCCAAGGCAGAGCGGCAGGTGGGCCTGCGCGTGCGTGGCTGGCGGAGCGAGTGGATTCCAGGACCCCGCCGCCCGCACCGAAAGATTTTCGAAGGCGCCAAGTTTGGGTGGCGCGTCTGATTTACTGCGGGGTCTGAGTTATCCGAGCACTCCAGGGGCCGGTGGCACGCACAGTGCTGTGTTGTTAGAGTTGACCACGAAAGGAGGACGCAGTGAGCCGGGGCGCACAGGACTGAAGACGTTTCTTTTCTAGGTGCAAAGCCAAGGAAGCGCTGACCGAAACGCCCCGGGACATTGCGGGGTTCAGTTACCACTGCGGTGATCCCAAGTCCACACCTTTACGGGCTCCGCTGCACCGGCCTGTAGAAGCCCTGGCTTCCAGCCTCAAGCCACCACATCTCTGCACCGGGAAGGAAGGAGGGCCCTGGAGGCAGGAGGCGGCTGTGCTGGCTCGCCGCGCAGCACGGCGCGGAACCCGACGGCGGGTCTGGCCGCTGTGCCTCCTTGGCCGCGACCGCCCTTGCACGGGTCCGCGCGGGGAGCTGGGCCGAGACCGGCCGCAGCCCCCGACGCACGGACTTCCTGCCCGGCGTCTCCCCCCGACTTGTCCCTAGAGGCTCGGGGGCGGCGAGTGCCGTGGACCTAGCGGTGGGGTGCGGGCGCCGGGGAGCCGGGGGCTCCTCTAGCGCCGGCAAGGACGTCACTTTGAGCGAAAGACAATGTCAAGTGCAAGTGAAGAAAAAAAGGAGAGGAGTACGAAGTAAATGTACCCAGGGCGCGTTGGACACTCTTACAACGGACACTCAGTCGACGGAAACCATCAGTTGAGGGTCGGGGGTGAGAAAACCTGATTTTCTGTTTACTGAACCGCCTCCCATTGCTCCAGAATTTAACCCCGAAGGAGCTTCGAGGCACCGCCCGCACCGTAAATCCCTGGGACTCGCACCCCGCAGACCGGCGTCCCGTGCCGCCTCTCAGACGGGCGCCCCGAGGCTGGCGCTGGCCCGTCTTTCCCTCCGGGCCCGCCTGAGGTTCCCGGCCGAGCCCGACCTTGGCCGTTCTTCCGGCTGCGCCCAGGAGAGGCCTGGAGGCCTGGGCCCGGCGCCGCTTCGGGCAGCAGGGCTCCGGGTTGGCCGGGGACGCAGCCCGGGCGCGAGTGCGCGAACGGAGCCGCGCCACTCCCGCCGCCGGGCGCAGGTGCGGGCCGCTCACCCCGGGGCCGAAGGCGGGCCGGGCCCCCGGTTACCCGGGAAAGGTCTATTTTCGGGCCTCCCTCCCCCGCCCAGCGTGCGCCCTCCCCTCCTCCCCTCGGGTACAGTTTGTCTTTTTCGTTTTCTTTCCTCGACGCTTCTCGGTTCCTCCATCCCTTTGCGGCACGCGCCCACCACCAACGCCGCGGGCGAATTGGAGGGCTCTATGTGCCTGCCCCGGGGGTGTCGCCGCGGGCCCCGGGGCCGTCTCCCCTACGGGCCGGGGACCGAGGGGGGGGGGCCGCCTTGCCGCCAGGAGCAGCGCGGGCGGGAGATGCGCGGAACGTCCAGGACGGGGAGGGGGCCGCGCCAGCGCCCGGGCCCTGCGTCCCTCCCCATCTGTCGGACCAAAGCTGCTGAAGCTGCAGAATTGCGCTGGCGCCCGTCCACCGGCTGCAAACAAAACCAAACAAAACGCGGCGAAAGGAAAAGCGAAATGGCGCTGCTGAAAATGGAGCCTCGGCCTCTAGGACGTCTTTCTTTCCTCTGTCTCTTACTTCGTCTACTTCGTGTTTCTAGTCCTTCAACGCCCCTCTTCTCGGCTCTCCTCCCTGTAATCTCTACCCCATCGCCCCTTTGCTTTTCTGATTAACAACCTCCTTTCCCCGCTTTTCCTTCTTTCCTTTCCCCTCTCGGTTCCTCCTTCTCCATTTTGTGTCACAGGCTCTTCTCTTCTCAGTTCCCTTTCTGGGCTCGCGCTCCCCCGCCCGTCTCACTTGATGTTTTCTGCGTGTCGGGGAGCGGGGGTGGTAGGGACGGTGAGGCTAGGTAGTGAGTGGGTTTGGTAGAGACAGGTTTTATTTAGAACCCAAACAGCTCCTTTAATTAGCCGTGCGCTCGCCCTGCGCCCTCGTTCCCCGCGGCTCTGCGCCCGGACTCGCGCGGCGCCGTCCCACCAGCCAGGCGTCACCGCCCAGGAGGCGGCTCAGGGCTTAACGCAGAAGTGAATACCTTTTTATATATTTTAAGCTTAGAATATCGTTTTTGCAGTGATCGTGAGCGTGGCATACTTCGGATAGGTGGATCTCATTTTCCCAAGGGACTTCCAAAGACCATTTTAAGAGAAGCGTGCAGAGAAGACAGCAATATTTATCACTTTTTCTTGTTTTCTTTTGAGCAGAGGGAACCCCAAGCACTAAGATACTTATGTTTTTAAGGCCAGACTTTTTTGAAAATGACTTTTTCTTTTACACTCATAGTTGACTTTGATCCTTTAAAAAAAAGAGGGTGAACTCTTTCAAAAGAGACCGATGCTTTTGAATACATAACACCCCCCAATTGTGGTTCTCGGATAGTTTCTCTAGACGCATTATGATTTTGAGGTTCAAGGTCTCTAAGCGCTCTTCAGTGAAACAGTGGGAAATATGTTGCTACGTTAAAAGAGCAGAAGGTGATATTTCCTGATTGTGTTCTATCTTAGTAGTAGAGAGTGTCGGGGTTTGTTTTTGCTTTTTTTGGGGGGGGGGCTAAGGGGGAATTGGGCAGAATTTGCCTTGGTTCTGTTAAAGAACCAGCTGATAGAAGCTATTTCAAGTGAAGAGCTTCAGTCAATACGAATCTTAAAGCAGTGACATCATTTTCTGACCTGAGTTCGTCTTTTAGTCATGGTAGAAAGGTTAGTCTCCGTACAATATTTGAAAATAAACTGATTTTGCTTCCCAGTATATTTAGTACCAACTACACTTCACTTTATTCCCAAATCTTCTGGCCAGTTTCACCTCCTCTAGAGGTCTGTCAGAACCATATCCTCCAGAAGAAAATACAAGTGCTCCTCCCGTATGTGATTCTAATGCTCTTGGAATTATTTGAAAAGATGTCAAACTTTTACAAGGAGAATCTTTTAAAAAATGTCTCAGGTTAGTATTCTTTGAAAGAATCTTAGAATGGTTCTTTTTTAAAATTACCTTCCTTGGTTTTCATTTATTGCTTTGATTAAAGTTAGGTTATGTTCATATCTTACTTTCAGACTATTTCTTTATGAAAGAAAGGAGAAAGGAAGTAGGTCTTGCAAGAACTAAACCAATGGAACTAGGCCTTATTAAGAGCCTAAATCTGTGAATTGCTATCCTCATGATATGTTTATCAAATTGAGTTTTGCATGTGTTTTTCTCTGACTCAAATAGTTGACTTTATGTCTTTTAAGAATAGGTTTTAATCCAGGCTCCTGCTGCTTTGTTATGCTTTTCTCCTGGTAGATGAACAAATAAAATGAGTCTTACTGGAAGGGTAGGTAGATTTTCTTTTTTCCAGACAAGATTTCTAAAAATAGGCAAAGTTAGAAAGTTATTATTACCCTTCATTTTAATTGGAATGATTCAGTACTTAATACCAAGTTAATACTATTAAGATGTTATTTCCTGCTCAAAGGAGATAAATTAAGTCACAACTCAGTTTATTTTAGATGGACAACTTTGTATATAAGCAAGTGGGGCTAGAAAAAAGTATCATATATTTAGATATCTAGATATATAGTACTAGTAATGTTCAAAGCCCATCGAGGCAGTGTATTGGGGAGAAGGGTATAAATCAGACATGGTATCTGATGTTGAAGAGTTTACAGTTTGTAAGGAGGGATTAATTCCTTCTTTATTTTTTCTCATTTAAAAACAAACATTCATATGGACAAAAATAAAATTAGATCCCTACCTTACTCTACACACAAATTAAATTTCAGATAGACCAAAAACCTAAATAAGAAAAACAAAACTTTAAAAATATTGGAAGGAAATACAGGAGAATATCCTTATGACCTTGGTGTAGGGAAGGATTTCTTAAAACATTAAAATGCACAATCCATAGAGGAAAGGATAAATTGAATTATGTTAAAATAAATCATATATATATGACAAAAGACATCATAAAAGGACAAATGGAGACAATATTTCCAAGACATGAACTTGACAAAGGATTAATATTCAGAATGTGTGAATAGCATATAAAGAATTTAATAATTTACACATGAATAATCATGTAAGTAAAGGATACGGATATACACATGTGAAGTAAAAGTATAGTGCTATTACCAGGAAGGATACATATTGACTTCAAAAGTGATTTCCTTTTGGAGAAAAGGAAGGAGGGGAATAGGAAGGAATCCAAAGGGGGTATCAATTCTTTATAAAAAGATCAGAGCCACCTATGGCAGGATGTTAACCTTTTTGTTGTTTGTACTTTATCATAAGATTATTATAATTGGACTTCCCTGGTGGTGCAGCGGTTAAGAATCCGCCTGCCAATGCAGGGGACACGGGTTTGAGCCCTGGTCCGGGAAGATCCCACATGCCGCGTAGCAACTAAGCCCGTGTGCCACAACTACTGAGCCTGTGCTCTAGAACCCGCGAGTCACAACTACTGAAGCCCACGCACCTAGAGTCCGTGCTCCACCACGAGAGAAGCCACCGCAATGAGAGGCCTGCGCACAGCAATGAAGAGTAGCCCCTGCTCGCTGCAACTAAAACAACAAAAAAAGAAAGCCCGCGAGGAGCAACAAAGACCCAACGCAGACAAAAATAAGTAAGTAATAAATAAATGTATTGAAAAAAAGATTGTTATAATTTATTTAAAAATCTTTGGAACTTCCCTGGTGGTGCAGTGGTTAAGAATCTGCCTGCCAATGCAGGGGGCACGGGTTCGATCCCTGGTCCGGGAAGATCCCACATGCTGCAGAGCAACTAAGCCCGTGTGCCACAGCTACTGAAGTAGAGCCTGGGCTAGAGCCTGGGCTCCGCAACAAGAGAAGCCACTGCAGTGAGAAGCCCGCGCACCACAACGAGGAGTAGCCCCCGCTCGTGCAACTAGAGAAAGCCTGTGTGTAGCGCAGCAGCAAAGACCCAACACAGCCAAAAATAAATAAATAAATTTATTTTTAAAAAATCTCTAACATCAATTCCTAGTGCAAAAAACAAACAATGACACTTTTCTTTTTCTTAGTAATAATCTTTGTAGGATGTTGTTCACATATATGATGACAAAGTAAACACCATTCCTTAGTATTTTTCCTCTACTGTGTTTGTTATATGATGTTCACATCACAGAGATTTCCCTAGTTTGGTGTTTCTCTGTTGTAAGCTTATTTGTTTTCTGAGTACATTTAGTGAGAAGAGAGAAACATGTTTGAAACTATGAATAAGCATAAGAGCATTTATTCTTATATGATCTAATCATTAAAAATGCTTTTAAAAGGAAGTAAATTAAAAACCTTCCACACCATTATAGAAACACTTTTGAAAAATCAGTCTCAGGCCTAGCATGCAAGATGTTACTTTGGCACGTCTAATTTTTTTGTGCAGATTATCAGGAATTGGTATTTTGGAAGTATATATGTGGTCTTGTGTTCTCATTCTACATGGCAGGAGTTCATACAATGTATATTTCTACCGTTGCTACTTTTCACTAACAGAAGTTTTGTTTGCTTGTAACTTTCCCAGGGACTATTCATAGTATGGCAGCACTGAAATGATGTAATATTTCATTTGTTTTGAGACTTTATGTTTGTTAGTATTAGGCCAACAAGCATGGGGAAGCAGCATGGTTATTGTTTCGCTTACTCATGTGTGAGCTGAGCGAGGGGCGTTCCCACATGGTATGAACTCCTGCCGTATGCATTGGTGGGCGACGCCAATACAATCATGTCAAATGCAAGTGCCGTGAGACGCATTACTCCTTGGGCACATATGGATCCTGCTCATTATGCCAAAGTAACCTTCTGGAAGTCCTAAAACTTTACTCAGAAACCTTTTATGACTCCCTAATGCCAACAGAATTACAGTCCAAGTCTCTTCTCTGGCAGTAGAGGCCCCTGTACCCTCATTACACTTGCATTTCCAGCCTCATTTCCAAAGACAACTGAAATAAACTGTCTTTTAGCTGCTAATCTGTATTATTTGTGCTATGTTTATTAAAAAGAGGGGTCTATACTCACTTGTCTCTCTTTTCTTTCTTCCTGTATAAATTAGAATGTAATAGAAAACCCAGCTGAAACAGAAGGTTTTTTTTTGTTGTTGTTGTTTGTTGTTGTTTTTGTTTTTAACGTGACAAGAAGTCCGTAGGTAAAGAGTTGCTAATATTTTCTCAGGGGTTCAGTGATGTCACAGCTCTGAAATTCACTTGACCTTTACCTCATGGTTGTAGAATGGCTGCTACACTTCAAGTATCACATCTTCACCATGGGTGCAAAGGTGGGAAGGCAGGCAGAAAGTTTATTCTTCATCAGCCTTAGCCTTGTAGAGGAGGTAAAGTATTTTCCAAAAACACCCCACCAAAGGATTTCCTCTTACATCTCATCAGTCAGAATTTTGATATAGTTTAGGAACTGGGCCCATGTTTCCACATCAAAGGGAATCTTCTCGATGCCTAAAGAAAACTGAAGTTCTGTATAGCAAGGAGGAAATGCGGGAGTGGTTTTTACTTAGTAAGCACTGCCACGTCTCCTAGTTTGCACCTCAGCATGTGCAAACCCGTTTGTCCCTGTCACTCTCTAGAAACATCTTTAACTGCTATCATCAGTGACTTTTGGACTTTTTAGTCTAATGGACACTTTATTTTCTAACTTGCTTGAGCTTCTTGTGGGGCTCACCCACACCCTCTTTGAAATTTATTCATCAACTATCCATTCATCACTTACTATGTATCAGGCACTCTGCTAGGTGAGGAGAATACAGAACCAAATCAGGCATAGTCTTGGCCCTCCACAAGTTTATAGTCAAGTGGAGAAGACAGGTGAACAGGTAAGTGCAAAAATATTAGAGGTGCTGTGATAAAATGAGATAAAGTGGGGCACAGAGAAAAGAGCAGTCATTTATATAACTCAGGTGCTAGGCCCCTTTTCGGGGAAGGAAGGGGTGGTACAGCCATTAACAAAGACAGTCTTACGGTTTCTTTGTTGGTTGCCTCTTTGCCTTCTGCCCTAGAAAAATACAGACCTCTATAGAAAAGGGGGAGAAGATGAGGACCACGGGGCTGGTCTCTCCCCTTTCCTTGGCCTGACAAATACATGTGAAATTCTGAAGAATAGTCAACCAATTTTTTTTTTTAACTTCAGATTATCCAACTCATACAGAATCCACCCAGTGTAGGGGCTGTGGAGTGACTTCTTTGGTTTGTTTACCTCATCTTGTGTTCTCTTAAGGGTATCCGGTCTCACCCCTAAACCCTGGGTAGGCCATGTCTCTACTCTCTTAGAGCCAGAGTCTGACCACTCAGGATGGCAGAAAGGACATGTCTGGAGAGATGCAAGTTTGTCTGCTGGATTGAAGAGTAGGACCAGGGAAGAAGACAAGGCGTGATGAGAGAGATGAAGCTGGAGAGGTGGGTACCAGTTTATGTCATGCTAGAGGGTTTGAAGATATTTGGTAGGTCATAGGTACCCAAACTTTCTCAGTTCACTGCACCCTTAGTGTCTCTCTAATTTTTTCATGATGCCCTAGGCCAAGAGAAATAACAGTTCCATTCATTACGTAGTTCGTTCCAAATGCCATAATAGTGGTAGTTTGTGTGGTGTCTGATAGATGTTGCTGCGTTTCCCTCAAAAAAATTAAATAGCCTATAGCAAACCTGAGTTCACTGCGGTGCCCAAGGGTGACTTGTGCATAGTGTGGGAACCATGGTATAGGTTATTGAAACTTTTTCATTTAGTAAATTAACTATTCAGTTTTGTGTTTTCGAAAGATCACTCTTTCAGTGAATTGGAGGCTTGTATGGGGTAAAGGCATGATGGGAGGTAGGGAGTTAATGGCAGCAGTTTACGGAAGAAGTGATTAGGCTGTAACATGCCGCACACTAATGAGAATGCTGTTGGATCTAAGATATCTTATGGAGGTAGAGTGGATAGGATTACCTTATCAGTCGGTTTTGGGAGAGGGAAAGAGATAGGATGATTCCTAGATTGCAGGTTGGGTTAAAGGGTACATCATAATAGAAATGTAGGAAAAACATGTCTTGGGAGAAAGAGTTCCTTTTCTTGGCATGTTGAATTTGAGAGGTTTCTTAAGGACAAGATGGATATATGGTGTTGGACCTCAGGAGCAGTTCTGGAAGAGAAATGTAAATTGATAAGTTGTTTATATAGAGATTGGGGTTGGCACCATGAGACTAGGGAGGAAGCAGGCCAGTGTTTAGACAGTCAACGGAGGAAGAGGCTCCTGCAAAGGGGATAGGACCAGGAGAGGGGTCACGAAGCTTGTACAAGGCAGTGTGTTTGGATGAAGCCAGGACTCTACTCTTACCATTCTGTTCTATGGACGTCTGGGTCTAACTGTTTCCTGTGGTGGGATCCCCTGGGTAGAGCTTCATAGGGGCAGCATCACAAAGAACTCTGACTGATCTTCGTGCTGCAGTGGAGACGGTGGAGTTGGGAGGGTGAGGGGCTCGGGAGAGGTGAATGGCACACGTCCAAGGAGGGTTCTCTGCAGCACCAACTCAGCCTTATGTCCAAGGAGCCGCCCATTCTGGGCCCCCAGGAGAGGAGCACCATTTTTATGCCCACATTTTAAGAAAAAATAAGGTAATGGTCTGTTTACAGTATCAAATACAATACGGTGATAAAGTAAGAAGGAGTGGTGAAAGTCCATGGAGTCTGACAATTTGGAGGGTCTTGGTGACTTATTGAAATACTTTTCTGCAGTAGAGGGAGGCAGAAACCCAAGGAGCAAGGGAGACAGTCATGTAAACAGATAATAACAATGTAATGTGATAAGATACAAGGTTTCCTATCAGGTAGGGTAGCTTTCTCTTGCCTCTATCATTCACTAACCACTTCTTATCAGTGCCTGTCACTGGCAGGCTGATCTCTGACGGCTCTGAAACATCTGTTCCCTGGGTTCCGTTCTAGTTCCTCTCTTCTCTGCTTGCTCTTCCCCAGCAATTTCCTCCCATCTTAGGACTTAAACCAGCACCACCAGACACTTGATTTCTCAATCTATATCTCTAATTCCCTGACTTTCTGACGTTGAGTTCTGCATTTCCAGAAACGTGCATGGGACTGGGCATGTGCAAGGTTTTCAGTCACCGTGTACTGATTTAAAATTTGATCCTAAATAAACTGATAATACAGAGGTAGATTTAGATATCAAGCCACTGCATTTTACAGAGTGAGTAGGTAAGGAAATGTTTCCTGCCAGATTTGTCATCAAATTTCAGTAATTAACCGGAAACCAGGTGACAGTTTCAACACGGGAGTTGGGTTAGACCCCGCTAGTCACAGTGAACAGTAGATTAGAATACACAGATTTGCAAATCAGAACGCAGGTTCCCCTGATAACTTTGGGCACTTTTGCTAATTCTCTGTGCCTTCATTTCTACACTAGTAAACAATTCAAAGGCACAGTTATGTTTCCTGTTTTTACTTATTTTAATTGAGATATAATTTGCATACCATAAAATTCACTCCTTTAAAGTGTACAGTTAAGGGTATTTACAGAGTGTGCAACCATCATCGCTATCTAATCCCAGAATATTTTAATCGTTCCTCAAAGAAACCCCATGCCCATTACCAGTCATCCTCCAGTCCCCCATTCTCCAGTCCTTGGCTTCTGCTTTCTCTGTAGATTTGCTTATTCTGGACATTTCATACAAATGGAACCATACAATATGTGGTCTTTGAGTCTGGCTTCTTTACCTTTGCATGAAAAAACAAATCAAAACAAAACAAAAAACAAAAAACAGCGTGAAGTTTTCAAGGTTCATTCATCTCATAGCATGTGTCAATACTTTATTCCTTTTTATGGTGAAATCATATTCCATGAACTGGACATAGCACATTTTGCTTGTCAAATCGTCAGTTAATGGATTAGGTTGTTTCCATCTTGAGCTATTGTGAATAATGCTGCTGTGAACATTATTGTATGAGTTTTTGTGTGGCCCTATGTTTTCAAGTGCTTAGGAGTAAAATTGCTGGGTCATATGGTGACTCTATGTTTAACATTTTGTTTGTTTTTTGCGGTACGCGGGCCTCTCACTGTTGTGGCCTCTCCCGTTGTGGAGCACAGGCTCCGGACGCGCAGGCTCAGCGGCCATGGCTCAGGGGCCTAGCCCCTCCACGGTGTGTGGGATCTTCCCAGACCGGGACACGAACCCGTGTCCTCCGCATCGGCAGGCGGACCCTCAACCACTGCGCCACCAGGGAAGCCCTATGTTTAACATTTTGAGGACCCATCAAACTGTTTTCCAAAGTAGCAGTATCACTCTACGTTCTCACCAGAAGTGTAGAAGTGTTCCAGTTTCTGCACCTCCTGGTCGACACTTGTTGTTGTCCATCTTTTTTTATTATTGCATCCTTGCAGATGTGAAGTGATATCTCATTGTGCTTTGATTTACATTTCCCTAATGACTAATGATACTGAGCAGTTTTTCATGTGTCTGTTGGCCATTTGTATATCTTCTTCCAAGGTATGTCTACAAATCCTTTGCCCATTTTTAAATTGGGCTATTTTTCTTTTCATTATTGCAGTGTAAGAGTTTTTATATTGATATATTCTGGATGTTAGACTCGTATCTGATATATAATTTGCAAATATTTTCTTTCATTCTGTGGGGTTTTTTTCCCCTCACTTTCTTGACAGGGAACTTTAAAGCACAAAAGTTTTCAATTTTGATGACATCCAATTTATCTATTTTTTTCTTTTTTTACTTGTGCTTGTATTTTTTTTTTAAGAAATTGTTGCCCAATCCAAGGTCATGAAAATTAAGGCCAACGGTTTTTTCTAGTAGTTTTATGATTTTAGTTCTTACATTTAGGTCTTTGATCCATTTTGAGTTAATTTTTGTATATGGTGTGAGTTAGGGATCCAACTTCATTCTTTCGCATGTGGATATGTTGCTGTCCCAGAACCATTTGTTGAAGACTATTCTTTCCATATTGAATTGCCTTGGCACACTTGTTGAGAATCAGTTGGTTACAGGTATCTGGGCTTTCAATTCTATTCCATGATCTCTATGTCTATCCTCATGCCAGTACCGCAACTGCAATTCCAGAACTGTAAAGTGAATTACATTGAAGACATTCTTATTCTCAAATTACTTGATAATTCAAGAGACTTGTCAGTTTGGATTTTCTTTCATACCTTATTGAAAAAGAAGCCTTGCATTAAAGTCTCCCATCTAAAATAAGTAAATTATATGCATAAATCTAAATTTAAGTGCTCACCTGCATGAACCTTTTATATAATTCTACTTTTACGTTGATGATATGGGCTTTGGCAATTTCTCTGTGTATTCTGTGAAGCAGTTAAAAAGTCAATTATGAACTGAGACCTTCAATTTCTTATTGTTAGAATGCTTAATGTTAATTTAAAACCTAGTGTACGACTTCAAGCAAAAGCCTTCAAATTATTAATTTTAAAGAAATATGTATTTGTTATGCCTTGTGAACTTAGACAAACTTTTTTTTTTTTTTGCGGTACATGGGCCTCTCACTTTTGTGACCTCTCCCCTTGCGGGGCACAGGCTCCAGACGCGCAGGCTCAGCGGCCATGGCTCACGGGCCTAGCCGCTCTGCAGCATGTGGGATCTTCCCAGACCGGGGCACGAACCCGTGTCCTCTGCATCGGCAGGCGGACTCTCAACCACTGCGCCACCAGGAAAACCCAAGGATTTTATTTTTGAACCACAAAACTCAATGACCATTCACTGAGGGCTTCATCCCACCCAAAAATCATAGGCAACGGTTGTTCCACTTTCTGGTGGCTATTTCTCAGTAGATGAAGTGTCAGGTCATAGTGATTCAGTGAACATATAACTGAAACAAACAAAGAAGAGGTACAGTTAGCGGACTTTAAAATAAAATTTAAATTATTATTTCAAGAATATTCCTGTTTAAATAGTTGAGACTCTACATGTGATGTTGAGGAATCCTGAGAAGTTCTGTTTCTGCCAGACTCATGATCGACATCACTCATCTCTCTGTGCTTCTTCTAGCCTCATTTTTTTTTTTCATTTTACCATTATTTCAGATTGATATTACAGTATCCAGTATACTAAATGTGTTAGAGGGAGCAAAAGCACCTAACCTGAATCTAGTCATCAGGAAACACCAGACAACCTGACATTTAAGGACATTTTACAACATAACTGGCCTGTACTCTGCTGAAATGTCCAAGTTATGGTATGTAAGAGACAGAAAGAGACACAGACTCAGGAACTGTTACAGATTAAAGAAAACTGAAAGACAGGACAATGACATGCAAATTACGATCTTAAATTTTCTTTTGCAATAAAGGACCTTATTGGAACAACTGGTGAAATTGGAATAAGATCTACAGATTAAGTCCTAACCCTAATAGTGCCGTATCAATGTTAAGGTCCTAATTTTGATCATTGTTCTGTGGTTATGTAACAGAATTCCTTAACTTTAGGAAACACACTGAAGTATTTAGGGGCTATTACATCTGCAATTTACTCTTAAACAAATCAGAAAAAATTAAATATTGAGAGAAAGAAAGAGAAAAGGATAAAGTCAGTGTAGTAAGATACTAACATTTGGGAAATTTGAATTCTTTGTACTATTCTTGTAACTTTTAAGTCTGAAATCATGTTTAAAAAACCTTTAAACTAGTGGAAGATTTTTAAAGTCTCCAAATTATTTTTAAAAATGTCCATTGTACAGTACTCAAGAATTACTGTGCACTAAAAAAAAAAAAAAAAAAAAAAGAGGCAGGATAGACTAGCAGTTAAGTGAGTTGTCTGGAGAAGAATGCCTGAATTTGAACTCTCCCTGTCACTTACTAGCTGTGTGATTTTGGGTAAGTTACTTAACTTCTTAGTTTCTCTACCTGTAAAACAGGGATGATAATAATGGAACCTACTTCACAAGGTTGTTATAAAATTTGAATGAGTAAATATTTGCAAAGGCCTTGGAACAGTGCCTGAAACAAAGTCTTATATATGTGTTTGTTAAATGAATAAGTCTAGAAAAGCACTTCAGCCTTAACGGTACCAAAATCACCTTTAGAAATAGCAGTATTTTAAACTTTAAAAAAATGTTAAAGTTTTTCTAGAGACAGTCGATTTGGATTCTTATTAGTCTCTTCTTTGATCAGCTTGGGATTCCTATTGCTTCCTTTGATAATCTCTAGTACTAATTTTTTAGTCAGCTTCATATTAGGAACCTGTAAACTCCACTAATATTTTAGAACAAATATTGAATATAGATAGCTCTTTCACTTTCACTATTATTTCAATTATTCAGTACATTTATTTATCATGACTAAGTCAAGTGCTGTGGGAGGTATAAAGATGGATAACATTTCTGACCTCAAGGAGTATATAGGTTAGAACGGAGATTCAATAGGTGCAGACATGGCCACAATATAATGTGAGGTTTGGCCAAGGAAAAAGTGCTAGATGGTTTACAAGAGGGAAAAATTTTATCTAGTTGGAGGGATCAAGAAAGGTTTCATAGGATGAGGCCACTATATGAGCTTGAAGGAGAAGTAAGGCTTTAATAGGCAAGATGACGAACGAAGGATATTCTAAGTACAGGGATGAGTGGAAAAAAAAAAAGGTACAGCAACAAGGAACAGCAGGTGGTACCTTGGGCAAGTTATTTAAAGTTTAAATAGGCTTGGGGTTTAAATTTTAAACCATTATAAGCCTTAGTTCCTTTATCCATAGAATGGGTATAACAATAGTATCCATCTTACAGAGTAGATGAAAGATAAATAGAATGCATGTATCTGACAGTAAATGCTCATTAAATGTTATTCTTGGTACACATTTATTGGAGCTTACGTTTTATGTAGGGAAATTGGAACATGGAATGTATTGGATTAATATTAAGTAGTGAAGGGACTTCCTTGGTGGTACAGTGGTTAAGAATCCGCCTGCCAATGCAGGGGACACGGGTTCGAGCCTTGGTCCGGGAAGATCCCACATGCTGCAGAGCAAATAAACCCGTGCGCCACAACTACTGAGCCTGAGCTCTAGAGCCCACCAGCTACAAATACTGAGGCCGCATGCCACAACTAATGAAGCCTGCACACCTAGAGTCCGTGCTGTGCAACGAGAAGCCAGCGCACTGCAACGAAGAGTAGCCCCCACTCGCCGCAGCTAGAGAAAGCCCCTGCGCAGCAACGAAGACCCAGCGCAGCCAAAATTAAAATAAATAAATAAAAATTAAAAAAAGTATTTAGTGGAAAGGAGGAGACAAAGTCAAAGTTCAGAGATGTTGCAAAGGTAGAATCTATGACTTTGTGACTGACCCAATATAAGAAAAGCCTTTATCTTTTAAAATTTTTATTTATTTATTTATTTTTATTTTTGGCTGCGCTGGGTCTTCGTTGCTGCGCAGGGGCTTTCTCTAGCTGCGGCGAGCGGGGGCTACTCTTCGTTGCAGTGCGCTGGCTTCTCGTTGCACAGCACGGACTCTAGGTGTGCAGGCTTCATTAGTTGTGGCATGCGGCCTCAGTATTTGTAGCTGGTGGGCTCTAGAGCTCAGGCTCAGTAGTTGTGGTGCACGGGTTTATTTGCTCTGCAGCATGTGGGATCTTCCCGGACCAAGGCTCGAACCCGTGTCCCCTGCGATGATGTCAGGATTTCAACTTGGGCTGCTGGAAGAGTGATAGTGTCCTTAAAGGGCCACAGGGAAAAGATAACTTTTACTCTACATCATAAACACAGGGCACTGGGCTAGTGCTTTATTCGTGATCTCTCATATTTGAAGAACATCCTTTGGTGGGATCATACTTTATACAAGAGCACTTGTTATTTACAGTGTTCTAGGATGAATCATGTTGTAATACTACCAAACCTTTCAAATATGGATTTACTTGAGCTTGCTTTATTTTTTTAATTAAAAAATTACCTAAGGTAACGTTTATATGCCTTCAAAAATTCTAACGATGCTATGGTTAACTATTCATTGAGTGAACAGTTCACTGACTACCAGCTCTTTACCAGGTACCATCTCCTCAGTGATTTGGTTGACTTTAATTCAAGGTTTCCTATCCATTTACAGGAAGTAGCTGCAAGGAGGAGGCTATTCCCAGGGCTTTGGTCTGTACGCACTCCTCATACCTGAAATTTTATTGGAACTGTGGAAATGGGGCAGTGGTTTTACTTTTCACTCTGCCTTCAGTGGGACTCCCTGGAAGAAGTGCTGTGCCAGTGACTGGTATTTCTCCTGAATAAAGCATCTTGGCCTTAATGACCGCAGGTTTGGATCCTCTGGTTTCATCTAAATTATACCCTCTGATTGATTTAAGATGTTATTTTTCTTTCATTTCTTTTAAACAGAACTACTGATCTTTGAAAAATTTAAATAGCATCTGTACGACAATTTGGAAGCGAAAGAAATATAATGTGTTATTTTCCAATAGGGTCTCTGACTAAGGCAGGGCAGCTATTATTAATTCTGTGGTCTCTGAGTTCGAATGGAATCTCCCTTTGGCGTCTGCTCATTCTCTTTATTCTTTTTTTTTTTTTTTTTTTGCGGTACGCGGGCCTCTCACTGTTGTGGCCTCCCCCGTTACGGAGCACAGGCTCCGGACGCGCAGGCTCAGTGGCCATGGCTCACGGGCCCATACGCTCCGCGGCACGTGGGATCCTCCCGAACCGGGGCACGAACCCGCGTCCCCTGCATCGGCAGGCGGACTCCCAACCACTGAGCCACCAGGGAAGCCCTGTTCTGAATTTTTTAAAGTTAATTTCTAATGGGTGAGTTCACAAAGGCAGGACTGGGAATTTGTCAGTGCATTCACTGTATAGGCGGGATACCAAAAAACTTGCCTCCAACTGCTCCTGTGAACACGAACACATCATGGAAAATAAAAGGCTGTGGCTACCTCATGGATGGTGGTGTGGTCAAGTGGCGGACTGAGAGGTAGAACCCATGAAAGTTTCTGAGATACCCATAGGGTCTTCCTGGAGCAGTTTTCCCATGCTACTGAAGAAAGTGGAAATCTGTGCTGCTCCCAGACCCTCCACTCCCCACCATTTCTAGCTGGATCAAGGATTCTATTGGTCTGGACACAGTTGAAATCATCGATATTGTTAGCAAATCATACTTTTTCACTACTGAGATAAGCAATGATTAATATTTTCATTCTGGATTATTTGGTAAAACCATCAAAAATGATTTCTACCTCCAAAAGAGAGGTTCATGAAGAAAAAAACCTATAATTTTTAATAATTTTGATTGAACCCATTAGAATAGAATATCAGTATTATTTCTGCCTTAGTTTGCCTTTTCTCATATACCATGTCTGTTTAATTAAAAATAAAATGGAGATTATTGTCTGAATAATTTCACAAAATTTCCCAGCTGACACAATTTTTAAAATGATGGAAAAACAGATATGATAGTCTAATATACCTGTCTCAATTTTCTTACTTTATGTGTAGACCCAATTTAGTGGTCAACTATGGGAGAAGTATGCTCTATGGATACTGCTCTGTGTCATGCTGCTACTGGCCTGCTAAATTGGTAACTGACCCTTAGTCAACAATTTTGAATGAGATGATACTTTTAGTGAGTAGGAAATACCATTTAAGCTTGAGCCTGGTTGGAAGGATTTGACTCCCCTTTACTATACATCAGTTTTAAAATGTGACTTCAGTTAGTTTTGAAAATTGGTCTCATAGTTCTTCTCTTGCTCTTAGAGACTCCCGATTCAGCATTCTCTCTCTTTTTTAAATTAATTAATATTGTCTGCGCCAGGTCTTAGCTGCGGCATGTGGGATCTTTAGTTGCAGCATGTGGACTCTTAGTTGCGGCATGCACACAGGATCTAGCTCCCCGACCAGGGATTGAGCCTGGGTCCCCTGCATTGGGAGCGCGGAATCTTACCCCCCTGGACCACCAGGGAAGTCCCCAGCATTCTCTTTTAACTGATTTCCTGGTGCCACAATCTTCCATTTATTGAGATGATTTCTCTAACTCATTGATTTCTTTTTACATTCTAACTGGATTTTTCATTTTTAACAACTCAATCCTTTTGAAATACAGGAATTGAAAAGAATTAAGGTCATGCACAGTTGTGTTAATGGAAATCCTGTGAGTTGCCTCTTCTGTTGGTTTGAAGCTGGAGGCACATCTTCTGATAGCCTTGGATTCATGCTTCCAGGAAGGTCTATAAATCAGTGTAGTCCATCTTGCCTTGGATGTCAAGACAGGTGGATCCCATTTGCAAGATGTTCTCTCTTTTTTTCCTCTCTAAGAAGGAAATAAAATATACAGGCCCATTAATCTGCAGAGGTCAGCTTCTTTGATAGGGCACATTCTTGGAAAAGTTAAAGTTGCAGTTCATTGTGTATGATATACAAAAAGGGGGCAAGATGCCCAGTCCTTTTCACTTTTAGCGATTATAAAGACCTAAGTATTAATGAAGCTTTAAGAATCATTTGTTGTGGGTTACCCTGAAATTTCAGGAAAAATGATGTATGTTTCTAAAGTTAATCCAGGGCTTCCCTGGTGATGCGGTGGCTAAGAATTCACCTGCCAATGCAGGGGACACGGATTCTATCCTGCTCCGGGAAGATCCCACATGCTGGCGGGGCAACTAAGCTTGTGCACCACAACTACTGAGTCTGCGCTCTAGAGCCCGCGAGCCACAACTACTGAAGCCCGTGCGCCTAGAGCCCGTGCTCCGCAACAAAGAGAAGCCACCACAGTGAGAAGCCTGGGCACCACGATGAAGAGAAGTCCCTGCTCCCCGCAACTAGAGAAAGCCCACAACGAAGACCCAGTGCAGCCAAAAATAAATAAATAATAAAGTTAATGCAGTGGGCTTAATTTGTCTTTAAAAATTGGGCATAGATATTAAGGCCTAAAATGAGACAATTACAAAGATTTAGATGACAACACATGCTTTTATTTTTGTAAATGGGCATTTTGCATAAAAGCTGCATTTGATATACGTAATTGGAGTGAAATGTTGATATTCCATTCAATATGTTTAATATTTATATGTTCTTTTGAAGTATTTACAAATGGAGAGACCAAAAGGCAAAGCTAATGAACCGTGGACAGAACAATTTATTTTCTTAAAAATATTAACAACTGGGCTTCCCTGGTGGCGCAGTGGTTGAGAGTCCACCTGCCAATGCAGGGGATGTGGGTTCGTGCCCCGGTCCGGGAGGATCCCACATGCCGCGGAGCGGCTGGGCTCGCGAGCCATGGCCACTGGGCCTGCGCGTCCGGAGCCTGTGCTCCGCAACGGGAGAGACCACAACAGTGAGAGGCCCGCGTACCGTAAAAAAAAAAAAAAAAAATTAACAACTACAGAACCAGGCTGAATTTTAAACAAACAATGATCCTCACATAGAAAAAAATTTTTAGCATACAATGAGCTAATTATTTCTTTCTGAATTATTTTTTTCTCATCAACTGTTTCTCAACATCTCTCTTTTTTAGAAGTTAAAATGTTAGTATGATGACTGAAGTGAGGAAAAGAGATTGGAGCTTAAGATAGTCACATGAGTAGAACTGTTCCTAATATTCTAAGCGGCAGAGTAAATATTGAATGAAGGGGTGGTGAGGTACTAGTCGCAGTCTGTTCTAACTGAGTAGTCACAAGCACAGTAGCAGAGGAGAGAATACTCATTTTGGTATTCAGAGAAGAAAAACCAGTGCCTAATAGTTTTAGCTCATATTAACAGGTACATAAAACATAAAGTATGAACGTAGCATCATATAACGAAATCAGACTCATTATATATTCTTTATAAGTGCTTCCTAGATTTTTTTTTTTTCAAATTTAAAATTTTCAAGTGCACTTCTAAAAGTTTTTTGAGACCAGAGTGGTACAGCTCGGTATGAATTCACAGCTGTTTGATATCTCAGCGCTTTCAAGGAACTCCACTAATTGGTTCCAAAGCCAATTTAAGTTGTCTTAACAAGCCACAGGAACTCAAAATGTTGACTGGACTAATGCAGGTCGCATACAACTTCTATAAATCATGATACGAATTCTTTCTCAAGGGATTCTGGACAGAGCAATTTAGTAACTTAAAAGTTTAAGTACAGAGTTGTCAAGTGGAAACTAGCAGTTCTCTGAGGCGGGAATAGGAGAAAAAAGTGCCTGGAGTTTTGAAGAGTACCTCAAAAGGCATCAGGAACTATTCACACAAAGGGTAAGATTTTCATGTAGGGTATTTACAGGGATGTAACGTTTGCCAGAGGTGTTTCTGTGTTAGGGATTTTCAGGCGTTAGTCATAAATCATACTTTTTTTCTTCTCTAACTTCTCTTTCCTCAAATTGGGTTATATATATCCCATGAAATGTACGTTTTAAGTGGCATGGCTCAAATGTGGGTGTATAGGCTAATTCCAAGGAAAAAACAAGAGCGGATTTAGCAATGAACTACAGCGTACAGGGATGAAAGAATGTGACTGTAGCTTTTCCCCCAATGTCCTTTACAAGTAACAAAAAAAAAATAGTGACAAGTAATTGTACTATAGGTTAGTACACAACAAATAGGAAGTGCATATACGTATTTAATAATACCTGAAAATAAAAATAAACAAGGCAAATACAATTCAGATGACCTTGGGAATGCTACGCAAGTAAATTATGAAGATGAGTGAGCAAAGTACTGGACAAAGAGTTTGAAATAAAAGGAAAGTTTCTCAACTCATAAGATTAAAGATTAAAATTTTTATTTCCCTATAAAACAAACATAATAAATAGTTATCTCCCTGAAACAAAACGTTCCAAATGGGAGGGGTGGGGAGGTGGGGGGGAACAGCAGTATTTTAATACACGTTGCAATCTGAAATTCTGCTTGATCTTGCTGTATTTTATAGTTTTCCAATATGCTTTAAAGGTGGAAAATAGAGTTAAAGGGTTAGAAATGTTAAGTGGAAAAATCTGATTTTAATTATAGGCATCAGGGAGCAGAAAAGAAACGAACAGTCACACGCTGCCTTTATTATTCTTCATAAAGGTTATGGCTGGAGAACGCCACCACATCAGAGTCTCTGTGGCGCAATCGGTTAGCGCGTTCGGCTGTTAACCGAAAGGTTGGTGGTTCGAGCCCACCCAGGGACGCTTACCCCTTTTACAGGCGGTGCCCGGTAGTTTTGCATAAATCATGGAGTTGAGGCCTCCGGGCAATGCAGGCGTGGATTTCGAGGGTCCGGAGAAGAGAAACCGCGGATCTCACTTCGCGGTCCAGCAGGGGGTGGCTCTCCAGCTTCCGGGCGCGCTGGGGCCCCTCCTCCAACCCCGGCGGCCGGGTGGGCGCTTCCTGCCGCCCAGAACAGGCGTGTGGGTCCAGCTCCTTAAGGCCCCCGCATCCTTTCGCTTCCACTCCCTGGGTTCCTAAACTCCGGCCCTCTTCCCCCTCGCTCTTTCCCGAAACCCCCGTCCCACAGCTCCCAGCCCCGCCTGGCCGGGCTCCCGCGGGCCCTGGTCAGGCAGCGGCGCCCAGAGCGCGCAGAGGCCGGGCGGCCGCCGCGTTCCGGCCTCGAACTCGCCGCCCCGTCTCCAGGCGCGGCCCGAGCTGGCCTGGTTCTGCTTCAGGACCCCTGCGATGTCAGAGGTCGACTGACTGTATGTATTTAGTGTCAAGTTCAAGCTGTACGTTGACTTAAAACGCTCCACGTTTTTTATCTGTTGGTTTTTTTTTTTTAAACTAATGTTAAATTGTGCAGCATTTCGTCTGTTCCCCGTCAGCGTAAACAAATATTCCCATAATTTAACTTGGACTAACCCTCGCATTGGTAAACTAAGAAATGTTTGTCATAAAGCCTTTGTGTGGACACTCTTGTAAGAGCATTTGTATGTTATAGGTTACTTTTTCTACTAAAGTTTTAGAATTTAATAGAGAATAGAGTAAACCTGCAAAATGTCCCATATATTCAGAAAGGGAGAAAACTTTTTTTACACTTAAAAAACCCCCAAATTATGAGAAAGATTAAAGTGAAACTGCTAACATATTTTGCTTCGACATTCTGTAAGCATATTACCATTTATTTCACAAAAAATGCAAAACTCTCCAAAATCGTTACCTTGTACATTGTTCTCTAAATATATGCTGCCTTGGTGACGTAATCAGTTTCACCATAATAATTAGTCTTGGCCACAGATTAATTTGAAAGACGGTTCTGGAGAAAAGTGGTATGTCTTATTCCTGCAAGTATGTAGTTATGCTCTGCTTTATGTTTTCCCCCACGTTAGCATATTAATAAAGGCTAACATTTTTTGAGTGCTTACTACTTGCTAGGCACGATTCTAAGTGCTTTCCTGGATGCAAGTGTGAGATCCGTGCAACAACTCTCCCAGGGAGGTCCTATTGTTTCCACTGTATTGGTGAGCCAACTGAGGCTCCGTGCAATTGAGTGATTTGCCTGGTCACAGTTAGTGCCTAGCACAGTGCAGATTTAAACTCGAGTTGTCAGGCTTCAGAGCCCCATGCTTCTCACTCCTGTACTACCTACCCAGAAGTTCTCTCCTCTAAAATAGAGCTACTTGATTGATTTGTTAATTTAAAACCAAAGGTGATACTTTAATTGGTTTTTCTGAAGTTTCATTAATATTTTGTTCCAAATCTCACGAAGGAGAGAAAAAACCCCACTGAATATTCATGGAATACGGAAGGGCATTAAGTCATGTGCCGCTTCATTTTATTGAAATGAAAACTGTGTGGGAACATGAAATCTTCATGTGGAACATGTCTTTGGAAAACAGTTTGATAGCATTTGTGTAGAGAAGACAAGATTAGCAATAAAGGCAGGTTGGAATAGCCCAGAGAAAATATGGAAGAGAAAGAGAAAGAAGAATTGGTTCAAGCCAAGCGATGGGGGCTAATCTGGTGTCTAGGGATTCTTGGACCCCAGGCTGATGTTTGGCAGTTGGGGAGCCCAGACAGACCCCTATTTTAGGACCCATTTGTGAGAGAATACCAGTATCTGCACTTGACAGATGCCTAGGTGGTAGTTTTAAACTTGATCCTAAATTTCTAAGTATGTTCTACTTCACCCTATTGGGGAGATTAATGGGATTTAGTGGCCAGAAAATAGAGAGAGAGGATTACATGAGAATGGAGGTGGGATGAGGACTGCAAAACCGCCCTCTAATGTAAGTAGTTGATTTTATTATGTGGGCAGGTACTTAGTGAATTTCTTTATGCTAGGCTGTTGCATACAGATAAGATAGGTGGGAAACATTTTTTTTAGTTGCTTAATTATTTATGGATGTGTTGGCTCTGTACAATGTGTATTGGGTATAGATGTTGTAATAAATGCTATTTCTGGCGAGCGTTATTTTGTTCCTAGTTTCTTGGGTCTGTAGTACCAACCAAGCCCAGAATATGTTGAGATCATTTAGGACATTAGTTAAAGGCTGAAGAGCATTTAAAAGGCTTTGCTGAGCATCTGAGCATGTAAATATGTTCCTGATAAACATCTGTATACTTAAACTTCATATATAAAATCAGAGGGAAACTCACTGAAGTAATGCAGTAAAAGGTGAATCAAGTGCTGTGGTTTATGCAAACTTGTTAGAGAAGGTAATAGTCATGTGATTTAAAATAATTAATAATTTAAAGTGTTTTTTATATTGTAGCATTTCTTTAGATAATGGAGGCTGGGAGGAGACCACATGGCTAATACGTTTCTGTGTTCATTTGTTAACACCTGTATCTGATGTCATATGATACAAGGTTTAGGGGGAATAAGACGTTAAGCTGCCAGAGAAACACAACTACCTTTTTTCTGCATTCATAATATATCCTAATGAGTAATGCCAACATGAATTTTAATTTTATTTCTCTGAATTTTGGTGGAGGTGATGCCTGAAATGTTCAACTTATTGCTACAACCAGCAGAGCAGGGGTAAATTGGTGGTAGAAGAAGCCATAATGCATTTAACTAGAAAATAGTTTAAGAAGTTGAAACCTTTTAAATAATTAAGAATGTTAATTTTATCAGCTGCAGCACTTCATTTAAAGTGCTTCATGTTGAGCCCCTTTGGTGGTGTCCATGCAGTCTGTGTTTTTGCATACTGAAAATTGTGTGTGTGTTATTTTACATGTATTTGTGGGTTTTAAAATTAATTTTTATTAGAGTATAGTTGATTTAAAATGTGTTTCTGCTGTACAGCAAAGTGAGTCAGTTATACATATATCCACTCTTTTTAAAATAATTGTTGAACTTACAAGAATGATGTGAGAATAAACTATATCTGTAAAATCGTAGTACACAGCTCAGTTTTAAATTGTTTTCATAGCTTAAATTTTTAAGAGAAGCCACTCGAATTTTCGTTGTTCAGTATTTAAACTACAAAATGTAGAGACTCATATCCTTAAGAAAACTCTTAAAATATAATTTTAAAAGAAACTCTTTATTAAGCTTAAATACATACCGAAATGTGCACAAATCATTAGGAGTACAACTGAAGAAATTTTTACAAAATAAACACACCTTTGTAATCAATATCTTGGTCAATATGTAAAATAATGTTAGCATCCCAGAAACCTCCTCTTGTGTTTATCCCAGTCACCAAAATGTAACTTTTAAATTGTAAACATATGGATTATTAGGTTGAAATGTGAATTTTAAGTTGTCATAGATCAGGACTCAAAAATAAATTTGCTACCAAACCCTATCAGATAAGTATTTACACATAAAGATTGGGAAAAATAATGGAAATGAGAAATCAGTTTTCCATGCCTACTCACTTTTGACTTAATCATCCATGATAGACTTGGGACAAATAAATTTGTGCTATTAAGCCAGAAAATATGAGAAATTTACTATTTATTTGAAGTGTTTACTTTTGTCTATAAGCAAATAAAATGCACTTCTACCCCCACCCATTAAAAAACATTAAACAAAAACAACCTTCTAGAAATTTTGGCATTAAAATTAATTTTTTAGTTTTGAAAATACATTTTAAACTTTAAAACCAAGGTGAGATTTGAGATCAAAAGGTATAGTAAGAGATGATGATTCCTTGGTTTCCCAAATAATATATTCTAAAATCTTAAGAATTTTAATCTGGAATCCACCATTGGAGGAACACAAATAGTGGTCCTGTTATTTTGAAAGTATGCATAACTATAAAGGAAAATCTAATCTCTGTGATAAAAAGCTATGTTTAAAGTTGTGGAAAGTCAGTTTTGAATACCACTGAGGAAAGCCATTCTAGAAAGAGCCAACATATAAGAATCTAGAGCAAAGTTTTACTTTCTTCTAGCAAAATTCTTCATTGTTGTTATTAAAGTAGTGTATGCCTAAGGTTATAATAATAAGTATATGTACAAATTTAAGTACAGTGATGTTTACTGAAACATTATTTATAATAGTGAGAAATTACAAACAAGATAAAATATGCAACACTAGTGGAAATGGTGAAATAAATTATGGTATGTTATTTAAACATTGGAATACTATACAGCCATTTACAAAATGTGTTTCAGGAAAAAAAGCCTTTGGACAATGTTAAAATATTGCATTAGGTATAAGAAGCTAGATTCAAAACTATCAAAAAGCATGATCCCAATTTTGTAATGAGACTGAATTACTTACATAGATGATCTACAAATATTTCTTGATGGTGAATACCATCAAGAAATATTTATAGATCTATACCAAAATAAGATTACACCAAAATAAGAATACACCAAAATAAGATTATCAGTGATTTTTGTCTTTTTTATACTTTACTTTCTATAAGTAAGTTCTTTATTATCTGTAATGAACATGCATTATTTTTATTTGTTAAATAACATTTTTTATAACATTAAAATAATACCTGAACTCATACCGTATATAAAATCTTGAAAATTTTTTCTCTCTTAAAATTAACATTGAGGGAGAATAGGGAACTCAGATATAAGCCTTTGTGGGTATGGTCAATGATTCTCAACGAGTGCCCAGACCGTTTAATGTGGAAAAGACAGTCTTTTCAATAAATGGTGTGAAGAAAACTGGATATCCACATGCAAAAGAATGAAGTTGGGCGCCTACTTTACACCACATATAAAAATCAACTCAAAGTAAATCAAATACCTAAGTGTAAGGTCTAAAATTATACAACTCTTAGAAGAACACATAGGAGGAAAGCTTCATGACATTGGATGTGGTTATATTTCTTGGATGTGACACCAAAAGCACAAACAACAAGAATGAAAATAGATTAATTGAACGACATCAGAATTAAAACCTTCTTTGCAAACAACGGGCACTGTCAGTAGAGTGAAAAGGCAGCCCACAGAATGGAACAAAATATTTGCAAATAATATATCTGATAAAGATTTAATATCAGATATATATATATATATATAGAATATATACAGAACTCCTACACCTCAACCACTACAAAAAAAAATTAAAAATGGACAAAGGAGTTGAGTAGAAACTCTAAAGAAGATATACAAACAGCCAATAAGTGCATGAGAAAAAGCTCAACATCACTAACCATTAGGGAAATGCAAATCAAAACCACAATAGATATTACCTCATATACATGAGGTTGGCTATCCTGAAAGACAACAACAACAACAAGGAGAAAATAACAAGTGTTGGTGAGGATGTGGAGAAATTGAAAGT